GGGGGGGGGGGGGGGGGGGGGAGGGGGAAGTATTGACAATATTGGGCCTCAGTCAAAATAGTATTTGGTTTGTAGATATACCCGGCCCAATTGTATTGATGGCCCAATTGTATTTTCATTTGTATGGTAAATATATATATATAACTAGATTCTTCTGAAAATAAATGACAATTCATTTCTCCTCTTTTCAGATATTTTCACACGCTGCTTTCTCTCTCTCTCTCTCAAATTAGGGTTCTTACTCATTTTATTTCTTTCACAATTATTGGTTGATTTCTGCACAATAACAGAAACTTCTTCAGATATACAAAACGAAAGGTGAAGATACAAAACAGAACGTACACATTTCTCATTTTTTACTCCTCTGCGTAAACTTGTTCTCTATTTTAAAATAGACAATGTAAAAATCGATGTAATACTTTGCATCTGATCATAACAAATATCAAGTTATCTGTTTCGTAACACTCTTAACATTTGTAAAAAGTCAAAATAAAGTAGAATTATAAATAGTACAATTTTAAATAAAATAGCCAATTAGTTGACATTTATTCAATTTTACTACTTTTACATTTGATTCACGATTGACTTGATTTTAAAAATCGCGGAAACTAATGCCAAATACGTATTAAACCAATATAAGAATAGTATATAATAAGTTTCAACTAATTTACCAAGAAGATGGCATAATTTTGACCATTTGCACATGACCGCCATGGCTTGTTCTTGAAAGCTAAAGCATTTGCCAGATGCAGCCGTTTCTTGTACTTCTCGTTTTGCTTCTTTTTATATATTTGACCAATTTATAAATTATAATATTTTTTTCATTTATTTTTATTACTAAAAATAATTGGTACATACATTCTTACAAACGTCTATCACACACTCAACTTGTCAACTAGACTCCATCCAGTGTTCGAATAACTTGATTCCAAGAAAGGCTGTGGAGCTTTTATAATTCATCACGCCATAGAAATGTTTTTAAAAAAAAGGAAAAAAAAAGAGTAAAGCTTGAGAAAGGATAAATTGCAAGTTTATATATGCAATCATCATCATTTAACACACGCCCATATGATTTTACCTATTTAAAATTCAATATTTCTTGGAATATCTCTCATGAGTTGTCATTAATAATTACGTACAATGGCAAACAAAAAACCTGATTTTATATGGAGAAATCTCATAAGTATCAGATTTTCAGATCCCAAGGTGACAAATGTAGTTAAGGTCATGAGATCCTCAATTTTGCCAACAGAGTGATTCCTGGTTAAACGATTTCATTCCCTAAACTATCAAAAAAATTAATTACTACATAACAATCGAGGTCTGTGACGTAACCTGGCCACATATCTTTCCGGCTAAGGAATGGAAAACCTTTCTCCTATTACGTGAATTCAATTTTCTTTTCATCCGGAAAAACCCATCTTTTTTTCAATAATATTTTTGTCATTTGATCCAATAGCGTTCCGTTAGATAGGAACAGATTTGATAAATACTGATAACTCTCGGATAGAGTATTAGAACGGTCATTCCGTTCATTTTTACATGTCTAGTATTCTAAAAATAAATTTTACTTTTACTTGTCACTTTAGCATATCAAGAGGAGACAATTTTTTTTTTCCTGTTATACTCACAGTATTGATTACTCAGTTCAAACAAATCCATAAAAAACATGCATCAATTAATATGGGTACCATATTAAATTATGCACATTATTTATTATTTTTCAAGAGGTATGCAAAATTCATAGTGAACAAGTAAAAGTGAACGGATGAAGTAATCATTAAGCTTCCAGAATAATTTTTAAGCATTTATACTGATTGCCTTCCCCAAAATTCGTTGTATATACATAAGAAAATAGTAGAAGTTATTTAGAGTAACAAATTTAATATCTTTAGTACGTTACCGGTTAAATATCTTTGAAGGTGTTATGTAATATGTCTAGACACCATGAATTGCTACTTTAATCGGTGTATGTTTTTACAATTTTAAGAATATATGAAGCATTTTCATCGTTTACTCCTACTGGAAAATAAATTATTTTCTATTTGTTAAGTACTAAATACAAATCAAGAAATGGAAGGCTATTTCCTCTTCGTTTTTCTATAAAAGTGCATGTATCTCTTTAGACTGAATTGATCACCGATCTAAGCAAAACTTCTACTCTTTTTTTTTTTTTAATCAAAATTTTCAAAACCATAAGAAGAAACAACAGGAAATATAATTAGAATTGGAACAAATAAATCATTATATTTGATTATGTGACAATTAATATTTTAAAAATATCCTATTTGAAAGCTAATTTTTTAATTTCTCTTCCATCCCACCTAAAAGAGAGTGTATTCACGCTCTTTGCCACATCAACATCTAGGAGAGTCAAGATTATTAAAGACCACGTATAATTTAAGAATGAACTAAACAAAAGTTGTCAGTACAGAGGGGTCCCGAACATTTCTGCTAATAATAAACTCCTAAATAAAATAATCCAGGCTTTCCTTCCACACTCCAAAAGAAAAAGACTAAGCAAAATAAATTTGTCTCTCACCGTCCATAAGTAGTGAAGTTAAAGCTTGTGTACCACCTTTTCATTTTGTTGCTGAAGAGGCCATTTTTCAGGTACCCAACACGTTAGATCTCAAGCTCTGTTGCCTTCAAAGCAAGCTTTCTAATAAGTACTTCTTGTTTTTTTCCTCTAACCATAATGTATTAAACTATTAATACATGCTCTTAGCTGTAATTAATCTTTCTTTAATCTCACTCAATGCCCTTCGAACAAACGCAACACGTTCTTTCTGAACTTTCTTTTTCTTCTTCTCTTTCTGTTACTGTACCAGTCAAAAACAATTTTCTTGTTGGGTTACAACCTCATTTTCACATGAAAATTGCACCTCTAGTTAAATTGGTTCACTTTGCAACAAAATAATAATTATAAAAAAAAAAGAAGGTTTTTCCACACCTTGTGATACTGTTTTGTTCAAAATCCATTCTTGTAAAATTTAGGTTGGAGTTAAAGATCAATCTACTTGGTAAAAAATATGTCCTTTTTTCTTTTGGTAAATGGATTTTCCTTGTGATCATAAACCAAGACTCTTCTTCTTTTTGCTTGTTTAAAACCCCTTTCCAATTTATTTTACCTTTTTCCACATTTTAATGGGTCACGGTAGTACTTTTGTGGAGGTGTAGCCACGACTTAAAGTTTATGGATTCAAGATTTTAATACTTTTAAGCTATTGAATTTTAAATTAATAATTTATAATTATTCAATGAATTTCTTAAGATAAATATAAGATTTGCATTAAAGTTATTGAGTTTAGCCGAACGCATGATTAAGTGCTAGCTCCGCCACTGAACTTGTGCATAAGCATTTAAGTTATATACACTTACCTTTTTTTTCACTATAGTGAACTTTAAACTGTATTTATTTAATAATAACCTGATTGTGTAAATGCATCATCCGTAACATTAACCGTGCAATGAACTTTAACTCTAGCAGAAAAGGTTTGTAAGAGTATTAAACCATTCTTTCAAAATTGAAACTTGATTGAGAGGGGGTGGTCAGAAACCAGTCCAAGTGTAAAGTTTCTGTCTTTGCTGAAGGGAAAAGGCAGAAAGAGATGGTGGAATTATCTTGTTAGTTACTGAAAGGTCCCTCTTAAAAACGTGTTGAACATTCTGAATCAGACTTTAAATCTTACATTTGGCACTTTACTTAGTTTTTGAGAGTCCATTGGCTTACACCCCTTAGTCTCTTTTCCATTATATAAAGCGGTATTTCCACGTCTTTGAACCATCACTGAAGCTCTTCGACTCCCTTTTCTTCTTGATATTTTCCTTTTCTAAAAGCTGTTTGGAATTCCTTGAGGTAACTTTTATTGAAGTAGTCTATAGTTCTTGTTTCAAATTGCCTGAGGTAACTCCCTAGTTCAATTTTTGTTTAATACTATCTCAGTTTGCTCCTTTCTTTGTCTTCTACTTAGCTTTTTCTTTGTTTCAGTTTCTTTGTGTATTCTTGTGCATTGGTAATAAGATTGTGGAATCTGAAGCTTGGTCCTGAATCTAATACTTGCCTGTTTTTCAGGTTTCATATTGCAGGGAAAAAATGGTGAAGATTTGTTGCATTGGAGCTGGATATGTTGGTGGACCGACGATGGCAGTCATTGCCCTCAAATGCCCCTCAATTGAAGTAGCTGTTATTGATATCTCTGTTGCTCGAATTGCAGCATGGAATAGTGATCAGCTGCCTATCTATGAGCCTGGCCTTGATGATGTGGTGAAGCAACGCCGAGGAAAGAACCTTTTCTTTAGTACTGAAGTAGAGAAACATGTCTCAGAAGCAGACATCATCTTTGTTTCTGTTAACACCCCAACGAAAACTCGAGGACTTGGAGCTGGAAAAGCTGCAGACCTTACCTACTGGGAGAGTGCTGCTCGAATGATAGCAGACGTATCCAAGAACGATAAGATTGTTGTGGAGAAATCAACTGTTCCTGTGAAAACAGCTGAGGCAATTGAGAAAATACTCACTCATAATAGCAAGGGAATTAACTATCAAATCCTTTCAAATCCAGAATTTCTTGCTGAGGGAACTGCAATTCAGGATCTTTTTAATCCAGACCGCGTTCTAATTGGAGGAAGAGATACCCCTGAAGGGCAAAAGGCGATCCGCACCCTCAAACAAGTTTATGCGCATTGGGTGCCTGAAGACAGAATCATCTGCACCAATCTTTGGTCAGCCGAGCTCTCAAAGCTCGCTGCCAACGCCTTCTTGGCTCAGAGGATTTCATCTGTTAATGCAATGTCAGCACTTTGTGAAGCTACTGGGGCTGATGTTACACAAGTTTCCAACGCTGTTGGTAAGGACACCCGAATTGGACCAAAATTCCTCAATGCCAGTGTTGGTTTTGGTGGTTCTTGTTTCCAGAAGGATATCCTCAACTTGGTTTACATATGTGAATGTAATGGCCTAAAAGAAGTTGCCAATTACTGGAAGCAAGTGATCAAGGTGAACGATTACCAGAAGAATCGGTTTGTTAACCGAATGGTCTCCTCAATGTTTAACACAGTTTCTGGAAAGAAGGTTGCCATTCTTGGATTTGCCTTCAAGAAAGACACAGGTGATACTAGGGAAACTCCTGCAATTGATGTGTGTAAAGGCTTGTTGGGAGACAATGCTCACTTGAGTATATATGATCCACAAGTTACTGAGGATCAAATAACAAAGGATCTGTCAATGAAAAAGTTTGATTGGGATCATCCAACTCACCTGCAGCCAATGAGCCCTTGTGCAGTGAAGCAGGTTAACGTCGTGTGGGATGCTTATGAGGCAACAAAAGACGCCCACGGTCTCTGCATTCTCACTGAGTGGGATGAGTTCAAAACGCTTGATTTCAAGAAGATTTATGATAACATGCAAAAACCTGCATTCGTGTTTGATGGGAGGAATGTTGTTGACGCGGAGAAGCTCAGAGAAATCGGGTTCATTGTCTACTCCATTGGGAAACCTTTGGATGCATGGCTCAAGGATATGCCAGCTGTGGCATAAGAAACCTCAGGTTGCCTTCCCCTGGTTTAAGCACTAGGAATGAGAGGAAGATCCAATTCTTTCATTTTTTAAATTACTATGGTTCAAAATACGTCTCTCTTTTTCTTTTCTTTCAGTTTAAACATCAGCTTCCTGGATCATGATGTTAATCCCTTGTACTACAATAACTAATTTGCCTTGTTTTGATTAGTTCGGGCATTTTCTTCTTGATATATATATTTTATAACTCAGAATCTCCGTTTTTTGAACAATGGAGGGAAAAACACTCCTTTTTTTAATATATAGAAAGATGAGCAAAAGCAAAGCTAGTGACTTCTAGAACTTAAAAGTGGCAGTGCCAGTAATAGCAAACGTCACTACACGATTTTTGCAAAGAAAACGAAGAGCTAATGTCATAGAAAGAATATCTTGGGTCTCTACCAGTGCTGGGAACTGGCAAGTCTCGTTGAAAATGATATGGTTTATTAACCATAATTTAACAATTTAACCAAATGACGAACATGTCGGAGGTACGTTCAGAGCAACTGCATTAATGAGTTTTGGACTTAAATCCATAAGACTTTTATGGGAAACGAAAAAAGGAACTGGAAATGACAAAAAGGTTCAAAAATTAATAATAAACGAATAACAAAGAAAAGAATGTTTCCTTCTCAGCCAAGAGAGTTAAAGATCTAACTTTCATGTGGAAGCAAATGAATGACTATCAAAAGAATCGTTTTGTTAGCAGAGTTGTCTCCTACTCTCCTCAATGTTCAACGCAATCTCTGGAAAGATTGCTATTCTTGGATTTGTTTTCAGCAAATTTTCTTGCACTCCGTTCGAAACTATTATTTCTCATTATTGTGTATTGTACTTATGTACTGTATTGTTTTCTAAAAAAACTATGTTTGAATTGATTGTATTGTTTGTCATGGTTTAATAACAATTTTTCAAATCAAACTGATACTGATAAGTTTATTAACTGACTTAAACTGATCCTAATAACAGAATTTATCAATAATTAATCATAAAATAATTTAAAACCAGTTTTTTCTCTTAATTTATCACCAATTATCCTTGAAACTAGATAGGACTAAAGCAGAAGGTGAATTTTGATGTGCATTAGCGAACATACAGGTTCATTTCTAATTATTAAACGACATAACATTGGCACCCACAGCAATCAACTGACAAGCCGTCTGCACATCGTTTGGAATCACGAGTTATTGCTAGTAATCAACAATCTGCCACACTAAATATTACCGAGCTACTGAGGAACAACGGACTTAATTAAGGAAGCCGACTCTAGTTCTATTGACCAAACCATGACCGAATAAAAATGAGTTTGTCACTCTTTTTCACGTACGCCAGGAGAAAAGGGGAAAAAGAATATCAAGAGTACAAAAAGGAAATGTCATTCCGACCATTGAAGAATTTCTTCTTTTGGACATGTTTGCCCCTCATCTTTAGCTAGATTTGTTGACTTATTCTCTCCTGTTTCTTTAAATTGTTGAATCCTTCCCGCAACACCTACACAAACCACAACAGCACGACAATAAGCACAAAAAAAAGGGGAAGGTGGGGTGGGGAGTAGGCTAGAGAAGCCACTATTGATGCAGTTCCTTT